TTTAAGAATCTACTAAAGACCTGGATGTTTCGGCAGGCCTTCTCACCAGATTACTTTTGATTTTCTTATCTTTTATTGTCTTTCTACCTTTAATTGTTTTGTAATTTGTTGTTTTATTTTTATAGTATTTTATCTCTGTTGTAAGCCGCCTAGAGTAGTCCTCCGCGACTAGATAGGCAGGATATAAATAAAATAAATAAATAAATAAATAAATATTTAAGGAAATACTGAATATGAAATTGAAAGTTACAGTATATCAGAACAGACAATGAATACACTTACCTCCTTGCACAGCCTCTTCTCTCTCCCTCCTTTTCCTCACATAAATCCTTCTTTCTCTCAGCTTTAATTTGCAGAGCTGCTACACTTGCTGTGTCTTCTTACCCTGCACTTTGTTGCAGTGTGGCACTTTGCTGCAGGAGGCACTCGCACTTGGGACAAACTGTTTCCCTCTTCAGTTTTTTAAAATAAACCATTCCACTTCAGTACTACATCACATAGGCACTGGAATCTTGCTGGCTTGTTATTGATATGTAGTTTGCCTTCCATCTGGTAACTTTAGCTTCTCCATACAAAAACTATGCCAGCTCCTTCCCTCCCCCTTTTTTCCTTTTATCTTCACTTTTTTTTTTTTGCTCCCACCCACCCCATCCTTCTTTATTAATGCATTCGCAAGCTTTGCCAGCCTATTCCACAAGACAGTCTATACTTAATAGTAGATTGTCAAAAGACATGAGCGGGATGTTTAAATTGTATAGAAATACACTACAACACTGATACAGCGTTGTGCCACTTAGGAAAATAAGAGAGGAAAAAACTGCTTGCAGATTCAAATAAACAAATTTTAAAAAAGGAAACTCCCAGTGGAAATGTTCAGAAAAATATAAACTTCAGGTAAGACAGTAATGGAAAAGGACAGAAGGCAGGTGGAGTAAGGATATTTTGATCCATGTTTGGATCAAAATGTCAACACGGGTCTATTTAAGGCAATTTAAAGAATGGTGTGATTCCATGCACCAAGTCAACCCAATTCAACTGAAGTTGTCCCATGAGAATGTGAACAATGACACAAACAGCATGAATCAAGATAATAATATCCAGAAATTACTCCAGATTTTTTAATGCAATGTAGTCACACTTCTATTCTGTCTTTTCATCTTCTGATAATCTCCAAACCATGAGTGAGGGTTATTAATGCAGGAAGAGGGTGGAATAATTTCAGTGGCACCAATAGATGAAGGGTGACAATGTGAGGGTTAAATGGGGTCGGAAATGGAATGAACCATTTTAGTGAAGGCCATTTCATATCTACACACAAAGAGTTTGAAGTGCTATGAACTTCAAAGGGAACTCGAGAAAATTTTCTCTGCTAAATCTCATACAAATTGCTAGTTAGAATGCATGAACACATGCATTCTAAGTGTGGGATAAAGGCAAAAAAGACTGTATGCTATATTTTGGAGAACAAAGGGTGCAATCAGAAAGCAAGAAAGGTGTGTGTCTGATGGCATTGGAAAAAGTCATTTTGCCAGGAGCAATCTCCCTTAAAGCAACCCTTCCATCTGCTGGGGAATCACTTTAGCCCAAAAATGTAGTAGTCTTATACTGGACCAAAAATGTCCAGCTTGAGCATGGATTGGGTTGGGATGGAGTGCAATTCCCCACACATTGTGTGACTGCCAGAAAATAGCTTGCACTAGACCTCACAACAGGCAATCCAAATGTGAGCTATATGCCAGTGTGATCATACTCTATGTCCACATGTTTCTTGTTTCACTGATAGCCACTCTCCAAGAAACATATTCAATTATTTAAAAAACCTCCACTTTATGAATGTGGCAATGTTGTGCTTCTGTACCCACAATTCAAAATGCCAGGAAATAGCTTGATATTGCTAGATATCATGCCCATGTTGCCAACAGGAAAAAGGATGCCAAGCTTTACATAGCAAAAGGCTGCCTGAATGTTGACAACACCAACGGCAGCAGTCAAGATTATGAGATACCCACCACCATTCACAAAGTGACACTATACAAGGGAACATCCAGAAATGACTCATTTTTTCAGCAGTTAACCACTTCTCATCCAAACACAAAGCAATTGTCAGAGCTATTTTTCAGTAAGTGTGAATGCCCCAATGTGCTCAAATTTGGCACCGAGCAAGAGCAGACTGTCTGCTACACCTGTTCAAATATGGTGCTGATCCAAGGTCCAGTTTCAAAGTAATATATTTTTGTTTGGGGGACCCCTATTTTTTTGAGTTGCCATATGGACTGCTGAATTGGACTACTGCCCAATACTCTTGGCTCCTAGAAAAAGTAATGCCACCGAGCCATCTGGCATAGTGTTGCAGGTTTAGGCCAATAAGATTTTTTCCACCTCCCTCTGGGACCACAAAGCTTCTTGAATAATAATACAGTGGTTCCTCGCTAGACAGTTACCCCGCATGACAGTTTTTTCGCTAGACATTGACTTTTTGCGATCGCTATAGCGATTCGCAAAACAGTGATTCCTATGGGGGAATTTCGCTGGACAATGTTTGGTCCCTGCTTCGCAAACCAATTTTCGCTAGGCAACGATTTTGACAGCTCCCTCCGTACTCACAAAACGGGTGTTTTCGGGACCTAAGCTTCGCAAGACAGCTATTTAAACAGCTGATTGGTGGTTCGCAAAGCGGCTTTCCTATGGCTGATCTTCGCTAGACAATGACGATTCTTCCCCATTGGAACACATTAAACAGGTTTCAATGCATTCCAATGGGGAAATGCTTTTCGCTTAGACAATGATTTCACTAAACAGCGATTTCAGTGGAACGGATTATCATCGTCTAGCGAGGCACCACTGTAGCTCCATCTCTACCTCTCTGCTCTGATTTACTTCAGAAGATTGTTGTGAGCTGGGTGGCAAAGTAAGACACTTTAAACATTTTGGAGATCAGGCAAAGCAAAAAATTAAATTAAATTAAATGGATTAATTTTAAATTTGACCTCCGCTTACCTAGACCTTATATTAAATTTGTTGAGGTACAAATAAATGCAAAGATCTAGCTATGTGTTTACTTACAGGATACATGATTGCCAGACCAAGAAACTAGCCCTTTGAAGTCAATTTAGCCTCATCGTCCACATTTCAGGGACACTCCAAACCTCTCAGCTTTTGGCTTGGGGGCTTGCAGATTCGAGTAGCTTAATTCAACGAGCACAACACCGTGGCGATCGCGAGACAAGTCGACACGCGACCACAGCATATCGTAACGTCTAAGGGGATGGGGGGGGGCTTTATTTTCGACGACGGGAAGGGGTAACCCTGCCATTCCTATTTGGAAAACAGGCTAGAGAATACACAGCCTGCAATAGGAGGCAGAGCCTGAAGCTGGACTCACCACCTCTCAGTGGTCGGGCCGCCGGCAAAGAGCCGAGCAGCGGGTGCAAAAGCCGCCTGTCCGCCCCTCCGCCTTGAGGGAAGCGATCTCAGGGCTGCTCGGAGCATGGCTTCTCCTTGGTCGACGCCGGGGGTGGCTCGCAGCAAATTAAGATGCCGCCCGAAGACGAAGTTTCCCCTGTCCCCGTTTAGGAAATACAAGCCGCGCTGACCCCGCAGCCACTCCTCTCATTACAGTACAAGGAACTAGAAACGCCCCTCGGAGGCGAGGGAGCGGGTAAAAGGGGTCCATTCTGGCTCCCTCAGAGAGGGGAGGGGACAGTTCTTGGAAAAGAACTCGCGAATTGCCTCGAGCCACCATATTAACATTTACTGTAGCTCCGAACAGCGGGCGGGCTGCTTTCTGGAAAAAAAAAATGAAAAGGGAAGCTTCAGTCAGCGTGAGGAAAAAGAGCGATGAGGCGAAATGAGGGACGACGTGGTATTGCCCTGAGGCGAAGTCAGGGGTGAGAGAAAAAATGCCAAGGTAGCCATGAGACCCGACATTATGAGGGAGGGTGACAAGACGTTACAGAAACTACACACAGCCCCCAATGCTGTATCTTTTACCAATGCATTCGTCTCCCACCCCGTCCTCATGCATGCATGTTAGTTGATTTAAAATCTAATTTTACCTCCTGTAGCGTTATCTGGTGGGCTGCAAAACCCACTTGCTTTCCTGTAATAAGTTCCAGCGGAACAGCCAGGTGCGGTTGTAACAAAAACTTCGCGCGTGTCTGTTGTGCCTTCAACACGTTTCTGGGCTTTCTGTAAACCATAATTTATGTGGCTCCTTAACTAAGCTGGTGGACTTCTACTTCACCTTATGGGGCATGGGTTTTCAAATGTAATATATCGTTCTCAGACCAAAAAAGTGTGTGCCATTTAGTTTCGTAGCGCACTGGAAAACGCCTTTTCAACCCTGTGAAACCCCAAGAGCTTTGGGGGAATCCCCTGAGGAGTGGAATCAGACTTCAGTCCGATATTGATCCCCTTCCTCCAGTTTACATAATTTGTGGCTAGGTTTTCCTGCAAGAGAGCGAGTGCGCGCACAAGGTCTTAGGTTTACGCAACAAGAGCCCACACAGAGACCCTGGCCTTATCGCCCCGCGGCCTTTAAGCAAACTTCGGACTACCGTTGCTGAATTAAAAACAGGCTGCCCTATTTGCAGGGCGTGGTAAAGTGACGCCTGTCCCCCCAATCAGCGTCGGCCTCAGCATCCGCCCACCCCTTCAAGGGGTATATAAAATGCACGATTGGCTCGTCACCACAGTCTATGCCTCTGTTCTAGGGCCGAGGTTGTCTTGGCCTGTTTTACGTGGTCGCCAATACAGCGCGGAGGAGCCAAGCGTGCCAGCGCCCGCAGGGTATATATCATGGCACCTATTGGAGGGGCGGCGAAAAACAAGAAGGTAAATGATCGGTTGGGACTTTCCTTGCTTGATTTTGCTCTGAAGAGAAGTCTATAGACATGCTGGTCTTAGTATAGAGCTGCCGCCGATTAACTGTCAAGCTCCCCGTTGCTAGTGGCAAATTTGGCAGGCAGCGAGGTGGCCACTTCTGTCCTGTGAATGTAATGCGGAGAAACGAGTCTCTCTGATCAATAGATCTTGTTAAGTAACGTGAGGAACGACTAGGGGGGTTAATGTCTGTACCAGATAGACTATGAGGAATTGGAACAGATGAAAGGTGATTTGTCGAACTTCTGCATCACGAATTTAAACGTCGAAATTGGCACCACAATGATGCTGATCTCTGAACAATGTAGTTTTAAACACTGTGGAGAAAAATCAGGCAAGGAACACCGGTTGGATCCCTCATTCTGACATATTTTTCCACACCCCAGATACTTTCATTTTGTCAAATCTATAACTACTGATTGAGATTGCTGGGGTGTGTCTGTTTGAACTTGTGCTGTGATCATTTTCCCAAAGTATCTATTTACTTATAATCTCCCAAAGTATTTCTTTACTTATAATGTATTTTTTATTTGACTTTTATACAGCTCATCTAGCTACCAAGGCCACTCTGGGTGGTTTACAACACAATGACATAATAGACAACAAATTAAAAACACTAAACAAAGTTTGCTGCAATTAGAACAATTGCATAAGATTCTGATTTAGATAACCCTTTTTATGTTTCTGAAGCATATTATAGCCAGGATTCTGGATAAACTCTTCAGCAGACTTTTAAAAAATGTCTAACGTTGAATGCTCAGACAATATCTTAATGAAACACCCTACACGCTCTCTTGTGAAACAACTTACATTTGCACAGAACCTGTCAGTCAAAATGCAAAGAAGGAGCTCAGATGGATACTTGGATGAGGGAAGCACAATATTGTCATAGTAAAACATGTGTTTCACATCTAGACAGTCCTGAATTCAATCCCTTGTATCTCTAGATCCTAATGGGAAAGACTCTTGTTTAGAACATTTGACCATTGTTGCTAGTCATTGTGGAGTAGGGAGCACTGAGTTGGGTGAGCCAGAGATCTGACTTGAAATAGAACCCAGTATACAGGCATGGATAAATTCAAGTCTGTCTAATCATGCAAGCGAAGTCAGATTAATACACTGCAGAATGTGGCTTGTAAGTAGCCAAGATTGCTTGAGCTGAGTAAAAATCACCTCTGGGAAGTTTTATAAAAAGCTTTTGCATTTCATTTCCAGCATGTCTATCCTATGTTGTGGACAGACAAATAGAAGTCCGTTAATGAGTTTCCTTTCTTCCAATGTTCTCTCTAATTTTCAGCCCCTCTGGGCGGTGCTCTGCCCATCACGTGCACAACTTTGCCCCTGTGACTTTGCCTCCCTGCACAGGGTTCTGTCGCAACTGGAACCAAAGGAGTGCAAATTATTACTGTGGGTGTGTGGAGGAGGAGGAGCCCTGTGTGAAGGGCATGCATCTTAAAGTTTCCTTCCTTTCTTTTTTGAATAACCTAATTCACTAAACTACTGTCATGGGGCCCCAGTATCTAAGCAGGTAGACTTTTCAACCAGCCAAGACAGTTGTGCAGTGTAATGGAGGGTGCAGATGATGATGTTTTAATATTTTAGGGTGCTAGTAATCTTCTTAGATGAGACTTGTTTCAGTACCCAGTCAAATTAAAAACTGGTGAGTACAGTAGGAGCACAGTATCCATGGTACCAAGTCCTCCATGGATGCTGAAAAATGCAGAAATAACAAATGTTATACATAGCATGGTCTATGGCTCCTACTAGTGGCTAATTCTGGTAAATACATCATGAAAATACCTATAAATACATATTTCTTTTTTTTAATTAATATTTTCAGGCAACAAATAAGTGAATCTGCAGATAGTAATCCTGTGGATAGCAGGGTCCTACTGTAATTCTTAAAATACCCTTGTTTCAAATTGCTCTGGACATAAATATACTACAGTGGTGCCTCGAATAGCGAGCACTTCGAATAGCGATAAAATCAAATAGCGATTAGTTTTTCAGGGCATTTTTGCGCTTCTATTAGCGATGGTCCCGATGGGCAATTTTCGATTAGCGATAGTTTAAACAGCCTCGTGTTTGCTACAATACAGTACAGTATTTTTAAAATGTTCTTGCACTCACTGGCCCCCAGGGGCTGAGGACTGTGGGCTGAGAGCTTGCGGAGGGCGGGTGAGCGGGGCCCTGGTGCTGGGGGGTCCTGTTGCCGGGCGGGGGAAGGGAAAGGGCCCTGTCGCGACCGTGCGCCTGGCTCCCCGTCTCCCACTTCCCCTCCTCCTTTTCCTCCTCCGAGGAGGCGGTGGGCGCTCATCCCCAGGCCAGCAGCGAGCGGCGCTTCGTCCGGCTCGCTCCTCCCGGGGTGGCGGTGGGGGAAGGGAAAGGGACCTGGCGCGGCCGTGCGCCTGGCTCCCCATCTCCCGCTCCACCTCCTCCTCTTCCTCCTCTGAGGAGGCGGCGGGCGCTCATCCCCGGGCTGGCAGCAAGCGGCGCTTTGGCCGGCTTGCTCCTCCTGGGGTGGCAGCGGCCACCCATCTCCTGGCCGCCAGGCTGGGCCTCCTCCGGCTCCTCCTGGCAGCGCTGGGAGTCGAGGGAGGAGAAGAACAAAGGGAACCGCCGGGCACCCGCAGGCAGGGGCGGGCGGGTGGCCGTGACACTCCTTCTGGGCTGGCTGGCTGGCTGGCTTCCTCCTCCTTCCTCGCTCCCTCACTGGCTGGCTTTGTTCTTATTTTGTTGATTTTTTCCCTCCATTGAGATGCATTGAATAGGTTTCAATGCATTTCAATGGGGGAACCGCGTTTTGATTAGCGATGTTTCCCATGGAGATTTTTGAATAGCGACGGCAATTTGTTCCTATTGGAACGGATTAGCCGGCTTTCAATGCATTTCAGTGGGAAACCGCGTTTTGAATAGCGATGAAATCAAATAGCGATGTTTTTTTTGCGGAACGCATTAACATCGGTATTCGAGGCCCCACTGGCCAAAAATTAAAGTTTCCATTAGTATTTGATTCCATTCCTTGTAAGTGTGATATGCATGATAAAATGACTTGATGCTTACATATATGCGTTAAGGATTGGAAAGGTCTAAGACTGCAGCAGGGTTTTTATGTCTTTTTCAGTGTGTATGACTAAGGACAAGAATCTCAAGAATTTAAGCACAAAGATTTAAATGTTGTTAAAACAGTGATAATTGCTTTCCTCAGAGTAATTCACCAGCAGACTGTTGCAGACTTATTCAGAAGGTACTGCTAAATCAAAATATTTTATATCAACACTAAATAAGGATGACCTATCTGATTGTGGTATAACCTGTTCCTTACTGTGTAAGGCTGACAATGTCATCAGCTGCAGTGGTTTCTAAGAAATAAAACACTGTGGCTAATGGTATCATGAGCCTTATGTGACATAACTTAAGGAGTAGGATTTCAGCCAATAGCCCATTTAGCAAGAGGCAATTGGGATAATAAAGCAAGAGAGAAATGGCTGCATGTTTGTTACCCCATGGATTTAAATTATCCACACAACATGTTATTTGTACACCCAAGGATAAAGAATAGTACCTTGTTTCTCACATTGCAATTTTTGGAAAAAATCAGCTTACAAGGTTTACATGACTAACATTAGACGGAGACACTGAAAGCAGCATAGTTTTAAATAATATGTGTTTAGAGTCAAAATGGAAAAAAGAACGGGGCTAAGTATAACTTTGTGGTATAAATCAGTTATTCAGTTATTGTATCAGTCCATTATTCTAAAGATCATACAAATTTTTGAACTCTTTTATCGTTGTAATTTTAGGGTATTCTAGAGCGCCTAGATGCTGGAGAAATTGTGATTGGTGATGGAGGATTTGTATTTGCTCTTGAAAAGAGGGGCTATGTAAAAGCTGGACCATGGACTCCAGAGGCTGCTGTAGAACACCCAGAAGCAGGCAAGTCTAATTTGTAACACATATAATGCCTACTGCATATTCTCAGTTAGCTAATGTTAATCAAGCTTAGGCTGAAATTCTATGTTGACTTCCTTTGGAGTAAATCTAATTCACCTCAGATGAGTTTATTTCTATATAGATATGCATAGGATTGTACTTTTAGAACTAAATCCAAAAGATAATCAAAATTAACCAATACTGTATGTGTTAGAACCTACCAAAGTGTTGAGTCACCATCCAGAAATTGATTTAGTGGATTTACTCTGACAGGGATTAACAATTGGATTTAGGGTTTAGGTTGCAGTAATAATATTCACATTCACAAGGGTGTAAGTCTAATCGAACACCCTGGGATTTACATATGAGTGATTTTGTATAGATTTCAGTTCTGCATCCCTTTGAAATCAATGGAACAAATCAGCTGCACCTAACTCAAGTTCAACTTCTGTCAGTGAGTCATGTTTTTTTTACTTAAACTGAGGCTTCTGGACACACCCTATATATCACTGAATAGTGCTTATATAAATGTTGCACATTTTATTAGAATATAAGTGCACTTAATCTTCATCTGTACCTATTTATTTTAGAATTCACAGCGCTGTTAATCAATTATATTTACTTGTTGCTTTGATGTGGAATTTTGAATATTCTTGCTCCCCCCCTCCATTTTCAGGAAAGCTTAAACATAAGGCAATAATGTACACTGTTTATTAGCCTGTGTCTGAAGGGGTCCATAAGCATTTGAACACAAGATCCTCCCCAAACTCATGATCTCTTAAGTATCGTTGCTTTCTCATGTCCACAAGTGCTACATCAGCTAGTACTATTTTCAATAGTAACTCCATATCATTTGCCAAAAAATTATACCTTAAAAACTATCTCTACCGCACAGTATGATGGAGAGAAAATCAAGCCTAGTGTCATTCTTCTTGCCCACCATGTGGCTTTCCATGCACAGCCTAAACTTCTTCAGAGTCAAGCAGGATTTTTAAAATGTAGTAAATGCTTTGAAGCTCTGAAACACTATGAAATATCCATAGCTTAGTCATGCAAACGTTCCTTTCAAGAGTGAAACAGATACTGCTCTAAATCACTTTTGGGTGACATTGTATGGATCAGTACTTGTAAGTGGGGAAATAAAGTGACCTTGAGACTCTATAAGAAATCCAAGAATCTTATAATTGGGCAATATGAGTTCAGTTATTGTGCAATAGATGACATCAACTGCACTGTAAACATGTTGTGAAATCCAGGATAACTACTCTGACGTAAACAGTTTCAAGGACATTTATTTGGAATGATGCCTTTTTTTATTTCAAGCAGTAGAAATGCATATTTAGTGATACTATAGAGACCTATTTGTGCATATGACACTACTACATTATCAGAATGTATAAATAGTTGCTTCTTGCTAGAGAGGGATATATGTCTTGATACATCCCCCACTGAATATATTCTTACATATTGAACCAAAAATTTCAACTGAAATAGAGACCAAAAATACAAAATATTAAGCCTCAGATATACTTACAGAGGCTGGAAATCAACAATGTGAGTGAAAGAGGAAGAAATAAATGATGGTACTCTCTCCCTATCTCTCACCTTACAGCATTCAGAGCCTGTCTTTGTATGTGGTCCAGAGAGTAACCAGGCCTCCAGAGCAAATGTAAGGGTATGCACGGTGGAGATGGCATTGCCCTGCATTCATTTCTGCTGGTGAAAGCAATTACAGTATGTCTGCAAGAAAACACTTGTGTTTCACCTTATGTTCTTCATCAAACAATCATTTATATACTGTAGTGCCTTTCATTTACAGAATTTTCTCAACACTGAATTAAGTCAGAATTATTCCAGTTTCACAAACTGGAAAAAAAGGACAGGAAACAATGATCTGTGCTTGCTTTAGGTACCTTGTTAGGAGAGGTGAGCATGGAACATACAGTTCAAATTTAAGAATCTCTATCTAGACATCAGTACAAAATACTTTAACTATCTCGCATACTGTTTGCATTAGCCATGTAATACTTGCAGACTAGCAGAAGGATTTCTAACTGTCAAAACACGGAGTGGTTTTTGTTTTTTTTAAAGAATACAACCTTAGATCCAATTAAAACTATGATGTTAAGCCATAACATGGTGCACGGTGAGAACATTTGATATAGAAGGAGTTGCTTTCAAAATGCTAACATTACATTTGACTCTGTTTTGTTTAAACATTTTGCAGTTCGCCAGCTGCATCGAGAATTCCTCAGGGCTGGAGCAAATGTTTTACAGACATTCACATTTTATGCCAGTGATGACAAATTAGAGAACAGGGGAAACTATGTAGCTGATAAAATTTCTGTAAGTACATTCAACCACTTTTTATCAATATTTTTTACATGTAGACAGATTGTAGTAAAGAAATATGGTGCATCTTTATATATGCCCTAATTCCCCCCCAAAAAAAACATGCAGACAAGTATACCAAGATATAGTATGCTAAAATGATAAGTTGCCTGAATTGCAGTCCACAAAATAGAGACATCCCATATTTGTGGAAAATTAACACTGGTTAATGTTTCTGCTCTTATTTGTCACAAATACTGTAATTTTCAAGTTATTTGATATTGCTGAAATCCTGTTGTTTGTAATGCATGCGGAAGGCACATGACATAATTTTTAGTGCCTTCTCATTGGCAATCAGTGAGAAATAGCTTAAATATTTCTAATGTTTTAAATTTTCCTTAGGTATCTTTAAGTTTCCTTTTGGCACTTGCCTGCAACTTCTTATTACTACTAAACCGAAGGAGTGGGGTGGCAGATGCCTTGGCAAGGACTGAGAGGCATTCCTTGCTCCAAGATAGGTTGGGGCATCTTTGCAAAAGGGACTGAAAAATTTCCCTGTTCAGAAAGCATCACTCTTAATACATTCATTTGCTCTTCATTTTTACTTGGCTAGGATTGCCCATGTAATCAGTCATGAATCATTTCCTGCACTAAAACTGAATTTGCCATGAAAAACAGAGTGTCTTTGTAAACTGAGGAATCATATTTATATTCTGATCAGTAGGAGTTATTTTCAGGAAATATTTAGACTCCAAAATAGAAACAAGGAATGTTTATCATAGCCACATCTTTCTTGATTCTTTTTTGCCTCTTACAAGTTGGAAATGATTACAAATTCATAGTGAGAACTTTGAGTGCTCTTTTTGTCCTATATATCCAAAATATGTAATATCAGAAAAAAAAGTCCCAACCCTTTCCCCTCTAATTGCATATGAGATTTCAGAAATGCATCTATGTGTACATTTTGTCTTCATTTACAGTCAAAAATCTAAAGTCTCATGGTGATTTGCTACATTAATACTGTATATTCTACATAGAAGGAAGACCCAGTGGTTACAGTGGGCTTTATGCCTAGGAAAATATGCATAGGATTGCAGCCCTAAAATTTTTAAACTGTGATATTTCACAATTCAATTATATACCAGCTATTTTAATATATACCTCGTATATGGTTTCTTAGTACTGACATGTCAACTTCCTAGAACTTCAGTGTTACAGAATTAGAATGGATTAGAATTTCTCTGCCTTTTATGGTATGTTTAAAATAGCATATGCAAACATGAGATCTATATTAGAATCCACAGCTGTTCCTTCATAATATAAGACTCAAATTATCCATAGCTCTGAGAAGTGCTGGTATAACAGGAAGGAAACATTGAATTAAACGACACATCCCACAAAGAAAATAGATCCAGCACCCAGCAATATTGATTTAACTGTTCTAGGCCTTAATTTATAGCCCCTCCTTACATGTTGCTAAGGTGAATACGAACATTTTTTTTCTCAGTATTTGCAAAGCATTGCCTAGTTCTTACCAATACTGCTTCTTCAAAAACATCATAAGACAAATATCTCAAGATTCTCTCTTGCCTAGTGTTTGGGTATATGTCATACAGTATGTATCATACTTACTCAGGGCTTTGATACTGAGTTACGTGGTCATAGTCATTGACTCTTGGACTGCAACTGTGAGAAATCCAAGTTGGAGTTCTCAGTGATCCATGAAACCAACTGGGTAACCTTGGCCTGTCAGCCTGACCTGTCTCACAGTATTGTCATTAACATAAAGTTAGGATGAAAAGATCAACATATATCACCTTGAACTCATTTGAGGAAAGGTGGAATAAAATTTTAACTAATATATAAACAAATATCTGACTTCAGAAGACATTGTCTATTGTATCTGTATCGAATCGAAGTCATTTGAGGAATAGTTGAAATAAATGGATGTGTCAAACGAGGAGTAGAGGAGTGCACTGTTGTATTCATTAACAGAAGTCTTGTCATATAAAAGATGGAGCTCAACTGTACTCTTTTGCTTTAGAATCTACTACTGAAGATGGTGGGTATTAATAGTAAGGAAGCAGATGGGGGGGGAATTAGGGGAAATTTCCTAAGGGCAAGAGCTCCATGACACTGTAACACACTGCCTAAGGCAATAGTGGATTGTTATTTGCTGGAGATTTTTTTTTAGAGTCTATCAGAAAGCTTGCAGTTGTAAAATTATTGCACTGAGCAGCAGGTTAGATTAAATCCCTTCTAGTTCCAAAATTATATTAGTCTGTATTGAGAATCTTGCACCTGCCCTCTGCCTATGTTTGAAATGCACCTAGTCTTCAAATTATTATTATGCGTATTTGGGACCTTAGCTATGAAACAACATAGAAGTTCAATATACAGTGGTGTCTCACTTAGTGATTGCTCCGTTGAGCGACGAAATTGCTTAGCGACGGAGTTTTTGCAATCGCAAAAGCAATCACTTTGCGATGGTCCCTATGGGGTTTTTTTGCTTTGCGATGATCGTGGGGAAGCAATCATGGCAAAGTGACCCTTTTTTAATAGCTGATCGGCGGTTTCAAAATGGCCGCCAGGAAAACAAAATGGCTGCCCGCTGTGTTTCCTTGCTTTAGAGGCACCAAAAATGGCTGCCCCTATGGAGGATCTTCACTTAAAGGTTAGATTTTAGCCCATAGGAACACATTAATCACGTTTTAATGCGTTTCTATAGGCTTTTTAGTATCACTTAGCGATGAAATCGCTTAACATTTTTTCCAGAATGGATTAACGTTACTAAGCGAGGCACCACTGTATTGCACTTGCCTAGCCTTCAAGTTATCAAAACATGCATGGTGCTATCTAAATTTTCTTGTCCTTGAGGGGCTGCAGTTGAGATACAGCAATGTTCATGTCAGGCACTACAGAAGACTGTTTGAGTAGAAGTTAGTCCAGTAGCACTCATAGGTTGTAAACCTGATCTCTAAAGGGGAGTGTAAGGCCATCAAAAATACATTAATTTCCAGGTGCCTGTCAGAACATCCATGCTTCACGTAGAATAGGCAAAAAAAAATAGAGGCAGGTATCTCAGAATATTAAAGATACGAGTTACCAAATGCATGAACAATTTCTTCTTAGCCATCTTGTATAGGTATAACATGAGAAATATCATGCCATATTGATGGATCAGGAGCTTCCCAACATCATTTTCTGAAACCAGCAATGCAGTATGTCAGGTTCTTAGCCCAGATCAATAATCAGAAAATATGTTACAGTCAGTTGTATTGCAGCCTGTGAAATGTCAAGACACTCCACTCTTGTAATTATCTCCTTGCTTTGGTTGTCAGCCAAGATGAACAAGGTAGTTTCAGAATCTATGACAGAAAATAGGAAATAGCTGCCCAGAGACCTTTGGGTAGTGTGGGCAGCATATAAGTTATAAATAAATAAATAAATAAATAAATAAATAAATAAATAAATAAATAGTTTCAAATCAACTTTGATGCTGGGCTGCTCCAATGAGCTTTAGCACTTTGTCTCCCAAATGGGATAATAACTAGTAAAAATACTTAAATTAAATGACCTGTGTCCAAGAATAGTCATGCCCACAGCTAGAGGAGTGATCTTGCTAACCCCTCTTTTAAAGTTGTCAAAACAAAATGTTCTCTTATTGTAGCATTCAGCACCTCAATAAAAGCAAAGTGTGCTGCTTATATACCACTCCATAATGCTTAAAGCACTCTCTGGGCAGTTTACAATTATGCAGGGAACACATTGGTCCCTTGCAAGCTGGGTACTCATTTCACTGACCTCAGAAAGATAGGAGAAGGCTGAGTCAACCTTGCGCCAGCTGCCTGGGATTGAACTCAGGGTGGTGAGCACAGTTTTGGCTGCAGTACAGCAGTTTAACCTTTGCACCACAAGGCTCAACTATTTGGCCAGTTCCCCAGGCCGTTTCTATTCCTGATGAAGAACAAAGATGAAGCATGTAAGTGGCAGGCTTCTTTAAGGGCCATGTTTACATATTTAGGCTGAAGGGGTTAAGGTTCACACGACTTTGGTCAGCACACATAAATCAGAAGCATTATCCACCAAACCTTTTTCACTGTTCTGTTACTGAACATTGCCCCTTTCTTTATGACATTATACTATGCAGATTGATAAAATATGAAGCACATTGTACTATGCAGATTGATAAAGTATGAAGCACATCAGCTAAATACAGTATATGCACTTTTAATTGAGTTCGCCCCCTGCAATAAGAGTGGGATAATCACATAGTATAAATTCTCACCAATAGTACTTCCATATTTTTAGGGCCAGAAAGTGAATGAAGCTGCTTGTGACATCGCAAAAGAAGTGGCTCAAGAAGGGGATGCTTTGGTGGCGGGAGGTGTCAGTCAAACACCTTCATATTTAAGCAGTAAGAGTGAAGTCGAAGTGAAAGCAATATTTCGAAAGCAGCTTGACATTTTTATCAAAAAGAATGTGGACTTCTTAATTGCAGAGGTAAATCAAATAACTGAATAATTTATAAATGTTGGCACTGAAAGCCTGAAGTGGTGCTGCTTTGGGCATCTGTGCTCTGAAAATGAAAAGCTGAAATTCATTTGTCATAATATATAGAATGTATATGCTCTTTGATGGGTGCACATTTTTGTTTCTGAGAAAAAGGTTTAACGTTCAAGAGCATAGCTTACCAGATTTTGTTCTAGTGAAACGCTGCTCACACAATGGGGCTTTAAGTTTTACAGCTTGCTGTACCCCTCAAAAAGCAGGTCTGAGTACAGGATTTTTAGGAAAGTTCTAGAATGTTATAAGAAGGCTCTGTAAAACAGGAGAAACTGAACATTAGATGGAGGAAAAGCATGCTTGGTGGGGGGGTATATATGAGGCTGCATAGGGAAAGGGGATAGAAAAATTAGTTGCTTAAACATATGTTGTGGTTTACCCTGAGGTTGAAAGTAATTTAATTTTTGACTAAAGACAGCCGTACAAAATATTTGTTTGATTTTTAAAAACTGTTATTAGTTTTAGGTTTTCATCTGTATTTTTATACCAGCTGCAGTGTTTCATCTGTATTCATTATACCCCATTTTCAATTTAACGCTTCAGTATTTTGAACATGTTGAAGAAGCTGTGTGGGCAGTTGAAACCTTAAAAGAATCTGGGATGCCAGTTGCAGCTACTCTATGTATTGGTCCAGAAGGAGACATGCATGGTATACTCCCTGGAGAATGTGCTGTTCGACTTGTAAATGCTGGTAAGACTAAACAGTATTTCTCACCTACTGACCTATGGGGAAGGAAGTATCATCTGTCTAAGATGAGCTGACAATAACTCAACAAAAGTAAGCATAGTCTGTACAAGAAGAAGTAGAATGACGGGAAGTTGACAGGGCTGGCCCTATCGTTAGAGGGAGGCAGATGGGAAGCGTAATGGGAACATCATTTCTGTTCCTCTAGCAGCCACATATTGTTTCGTCATATTGTAGCATGGAGCTCTTTATGCCACACCATGATGGGATTTTCATGTTATTGCAAATTCATAACAAAACATGAAGGCTCTTTGGTTTCATGTTTTTAATTGATTCCCCAAAGAGAACCTTTTAAACATGAATGCTTTGTGTTAACAAAAGTTTCATGTTCTTTTGTGTTTCCCTCTTTTGTTTACCCTTTTTTGCATCCCTTATCTGTCAAAATGCCCAAGAAATTTCCATCAAAAGGTATTGTGAAGACTGTTGTCAGCAAACCAGACAGTCCAGAGGGATTTCAGGTTTCTAAAAGGGTCAGTCACTCTGCCCTTGACTGGCCGGCTGGGAGTCCCTCTTTGTCACGTTCCCGCGGGTTACAGTAGCCAGAGTCCGATAAGCCAGTCCAGGGTCAGAATTATCAAGAATGCAAAGCCAAAGTCCAGAAACCAACTCACAGCAGGAAGTCCAGTGTCAAAGTCCAGGGTCCGATACACAGTGTAGCTCAGGGTCAAAGTCCAGGGTTCAGAGTCCAACACCACCGTAGTCCAGAGCCGAAGTCTAATACCAACACAGTCCAGGGTCAAAGTCCAGAATCCAGAGACAGGAACACAATACCAGAAGAGTGGATGCCAGCCAAGGTTTGACTCTTTGCGTCCACGAAGTTTCTGGCTTCACTGGAAGCTATTTTATAATGAAATAGCTCCTTGAGCTGCTGGAAGGCTTTCTATTCTGCTAATACTCAGGAGTAGGTGAGCGTAGGTCTCTATGGAAAGCCTTTGAGCAATCCTCTGCTCTTCTTGTCCTGAGTCTTTCCCGGAGCCTGCCCCTAAGCCTGTCTGCTGTGGAGGGAGAATCTGGGAGTGGTTCATGTGTTTCTAATCTCTCCACATTCTCTTCAGCCACAGTTAACCCTTCCGGGTCCAGGTCTTCGGAGGCACCCATGACACTCTCTGTCAGTTGCAGAGAAACTCCGAGTTGCTACCGAAGCAGCTGGTGATGGCCAGGTTGATAGGCCCACTCTTTCCCCTTCCTCTTCATGCCCCCATGCACCTCCTTGGTGTGACCATCTCAGCCCCAACATGTCCCAGAGAAAAAAGCCAAGATACTTAGTGGTGGTAGCAGATACCCCATGAACAGTATAAAAAAATGAACAAGCAGGTGTACAATTTCATAATCTCTCCCTATCTGTGTTTCAGTAGTATAATGCCTCCAGCCTGATATAGTAGTAGTTTTCAGTTATAGATATAAGAATTGTTTTGATATTGCTGACTATTATTTTCTGAATATGTTTAGTAACATGGCATTTTAATACCATGTTGAAATTAACCTGGATATATTGAAGACATGAAGCCACAACTGACATGATCTACCAAGATCAACTCTGAAATGAGATTTCCCTATCTGTGTGTTCTAAACTAGATAAGGAGATAGCCAGATAATAATCCATGTCTGTAATGCTAGAAGAGATATTGTAAAATGCAGGACATCTGAACTATATCCTACTTGTACTAAGATCTTACATTTCCAGCATTACAGATACATTATCTTACCTTTTCTGCCTTTTTTTTCTGTCCATATATGTGTATGTCAAAAGCAAGAAAGAAAGCATAACATTAAAAAGGGTCAGATACATGCCAAGCAATTACATTTAGAATGTTAAATTGTAGTTCATTTTTTATTTACGGAACACTTTCCTTCTCATTTGTTAGGTGCTTCTATTGTTGGAGTAAACTGCCATTTTGATCCAACTACTTGCCTCAAAACTTTGAAACTCATGAAGGAAGGCTTGGCAGCTGCAAAATTAAAAGCACATTTGATGTCACAACCACTTGCTTTTCATACACCTGACTGTGGGAAGCAAGGCTTTATTGATCTACCAGAATTTCCCTTTGGTAAGCCTTGAATGTTTTTACTTTTGATCAATGTCAAGTTGAGAGAAAGATAACACAATATATCAGCTATAAGAAGGAAATCAGGCCACAAATCACACAGTCTCCAGTATCTATATACAAATGCTATGAGTATGGGAAACAAACAAGAAGAACTGGAAATCTTAATTCAGAAGGGTAAATATGACTTCATTAGGGATAACTAAAACTTGGTGGGATGACTTCCATGACTAGAGTATGGCAATTGAAGGATATAAACTTTCAGAAAGAATAGAAGGGGAAATAGAGTTGTATTTTATGTCAAACATGCATATTCCTGCACAGAAATACACAAGAAGGAGCTGGGTTGTCCTATTGAGAGCATCTGGATTAATATAATCAAGGCAACAAGAAGAAGAAGAAGAAGAAGAAGAAAACATCAAGAATTTCAAAGAGATATGATGTGGTAGTAATGGGAGGTTTCAATTATCCTTATATCTTTTGGGAGGCAGGGTCTGACATATATATATATCATTGCTCTGGTTGATTTACAGATTAAAATTTAGAACTCCACACAACCCCACATTACAATCAATATGGCAATTCACCGCTATAGATCTAAAATTAATGTAAAAGACAAGAACAAACAATTAAAATTAATATTAAGAATATCCATGGAATATGTAATTGAAAGCAGCATTGTATAATTCTCTTTTCACTAATTTCCTGAATATCAGGAGGGAAGGAGGCTGGCATACTTCAGCAGCTTGTTCCAAAGATTGGGTGCTAAATATGGCCCTTCCAAGAAATTCCTGACTTGTTGCTGACAATTTTCTCCCCAAAAAAGTTGAGGAAGGAACTAGAGGATTGGCTATCCTTAACTTGATTCTAACCAAGAAGATCTGGTGAATGAAGTGATAGTAAAGGGAACTCTTGGAGTGGGGGTGAGTTTCCATGTTCTACCTGGGTTCTTGGTTTCAGAGGAAGCAAAAGTGGACTATAACCATATATGCATGCTGGATTTTAAGGAAGCCAATTTTAATAAACTCTGAACAATAATAAGTAAGGTCCCATAACAGGAGATCCCAAGAAGAAAAGCAGTCCTATGCTATGATTCTATGAAATATAATTAAGGCTGCATTTTCATTACATTTTATGATTATAGGTTGCCTCGAACACTACTTAGTATTAAAAAGGTGGGATAAAAATGTAATAATAACAGATCCTCCTGTTTTCCCAATGTAGACAGAAAAGGTGATTTCTGTTAGAAAAAATATTAAGAAGTCTTTTGTCTCTCCTTCTGTTGAAATATGTATTTGAGGACATACACTTTCATATACAATTAGTTGACCTTTATTTTCTGAGCTTGGACTTTGAGTCACAGTGGGGAAGTTACCCTTAATGCTTAAAAGGTGAAATTAGCAGTAAGCAGACAACAGACCAAAATGTTTTTAAAAGTGTGTGTGCATGTGTGTATTTTCATTACAGATGTAGAGATGTAAATGGTAGGTATGGGGACTTTACAGATGGAACATAGTTTTGATCCTTGCCTTCCACAGACAATCAATAGTGGCCATGCTCCTAATGCCTAGTTTCCCAGTTGAAGTACAAGGTGATGCATTTCCACCTGCTCCTCCATCCTTCTTCTGCAGAGATGGAGGTTGAGTGTCGAAATCCTGAAAGTGCTGGTTCACAAATTTTCATGTTTTCCAGGGGAAGATGAGAGGGAATGAATTAAAAAGCACTCTCTCTCAGAGAGCCCCAGCTGTGGTTGGATAATTGTCTCTTTTCCTACCCTGTGCATGGAAAGAGAAGTTATCTGCTGGCAGTCCTAGATAAAGCCTGGAACAGGAAGCTGAGAGTTAGTTGGATGATTACCCCCCCCCCCCAAGTGGGATTGTTTCTTTCAGTTGAACATGATATACAGGAAGCACTAAACAATGTATCAAACCATCTTGCCCTTTTTGTTGAAGCCTTTCACTTCTGGATAGATGATGCATAATGCTTGCAATAATGCCATATTGTGTAGCTACTTCATCTTTTTCTCTGTAATGGATTTTTTATTTTAAGAAAAAAAACAGAAGAAACCATGAAAAAACATGGAGGGTAGCAAATAGAAAATGTTATTATTACAAACCCTCATGCATGTTTATATCATAGTGAGCTGAAATAATTGTGTATCATTGTAGCTTTGGAGCCCAGGATTCTCACCAGATGGGATGCACACAGATATGCAAGAGAGGCCTATGACTTAGGGATCCGATATATTGGAGGATGTTGTGGGTTTGAACCATATCACATCAGAGCCATTTCTGAGGAACTGGCCCCTGAAAGAGGGTTTTTGCCACATGCTTCTGAAAAACATGGCAGCTGGGGAAATGGGCTGAGCATGCATACCAAACCATGGGTCAGAGCAAGGTAAGTATATTTTTAACTCAGGTATGTAACTAGCCCCCTAAACATATTTCCTTTAAGAAATTTGTTGTCTCAGCAAATTACCTAGAAGTAGTAAGCTCTGTGACATTATATACAGTAGAACTTAGAAGTAGTAAGCTCTGTGACATTATATACAGTAGAACTATGTGTGTTAGCACTTTTGGAGAGGAAATGATATCCCAAACGAGCAAAGCAAGAAGAAAAGTGCAATATCTTCATCAGCATATAAATTAAAGATCAGTTGATTAGTCAGCATGGGAATTAAGATCAAATTAATATCAGTTCTCATTAACGTAAATTTTCTGCAGCTCATTCTAGAGCAACTTCTATCCAACAGTTATGCAGTTTTAAGACCCATTGAAATTTGCTGCTCTCATCACATGTTAGGTAACATTTCTGTGTATAATAAATCTGAGATGATTGAATTCAATCTGAATTTTTGTTGTTTAGTCGTTAAGTCATGTCCGACTCTTCATGACCCCATGGACCAGAGCACTGTCTTCTACTGCCTCCCGGAGTTGGGTCAAATTCATGTTGATAGCTTCGATGACACTGTCCAACCATCTCATCCTCTGTCGTCCCTTATCCTCTTGCACTCACACTTTCCCAACATCAAGGTCTTTTCCAGGGAATCTTCTCTTCTCATGAGAATGCCTAAGTACTGGAGCCTCAGCTTCAGGATCTGTCCTTCCAGTGAACACTCAGGGTTGATTTCTTTGCAGTCCAGGGGACTCTCAAGAGTCTCCTTCAGCTCCACAGTTCAAAAGCAAAAGTTCTTCGGTGGTCAGCATTCTTTATGGTCCAGCTCTCACTTCCATACATCGCTACTGGAAAAACCATAGCTTTGACTATACGGACCTTTGTCAGCAAGGTGATTTCTCTGCTTTTTAAGATACTGTCTAGGTTTGTCATTGCTTTCCTCCGAAGAAGCAGGCATCTTTTGATTTTGTAGCTGCTGTCACCATCTGCAGTGATCATGGAGCCCAAGAAAGTATAATCTGTCACTACCTCCATATCTTCCCCTTCTATTTGCCAGGAGGTGATGGGACCAGTGGCCATGATCATCAAAACCATTTATAGCTTTTTGTCTAAAGTTGATCAGTTGCTTATCTTTAACATACCGCAAAAAAACCCTCTTTGGTATTTGCGAAGATTAACAAGTTTAAAATAAAAACAATCATAACATCTCTGTTTCATTTTATTTTTAAGTAAAGTTGGTTCTGCCCCTGAACACAGTTCAGATTTTTCATGTGGCCCTCCTCTAAAGAAATTATGTTGCCCACCCCTGGCTTATGTGCATGACCTGCCCTGTGTCTTTTCTGAGGTGAAGGCTGTAAGGTTGCGATGATTACTGCCACTTGCATATTTTCCCACTGTCCTGTCTGGTACATTAAATACATTGCTAAAAGTACATTAGAGCCTGGATTTTTTTAAAAAAAATCCATATTAACACATCGAATGAAGGGTGGTCATCATTACTGGCCACGTGGGGAAAAAAGATGTACAGTCACCCCTTCCTAACTGCCTGCCCTTAATGCCAAGAGTGTGCCTTTTTTGTATTTGTGGCCCATAAATTTATATTTGGATGAACATATGTCTAGGTTTTTAGATAGCTGATGCTCGTTTGGCTTGATTTCTCTGTTCCTGTGTCCAATGGATATACCGTAACATACAGTGGTCCAGTGTCCATTGTGCACAATGTGTTCCTGCAGGATGAACTGGTGCAATGGAGGACTCTTCTTAAAACAGAAAAACCCTTAGATATATATTGATATATCAATAAATGATTATTTTTTTAAAAAATTGAAGGCATAAATGGACCGTTGAGGACAGAGAGAAAATAAACCGGCAACAGTGGGTAGCCAGCCCCACATCAATTCAAAGAGGAGGAAATAGATCACTGCTGCTAAAAGTGCTTGAGACATTAATACCAGTACAGCGGTGCCTCACACAACGATTGCTTCATACAACGATGAATTCACACAGCGATGGTTTTTTTTTTGAGGAATTTCCCCCATCGTTTAACGATGTTCTCTATGGGGGAATTTCACTTAATGATGTCCCTTTTTGCTCATTTAAAAGTGTCTTAAAATGTTTGAAACCTGTTTTAAATGCTTGGATTCCATAGTGCACCTTGTGAAACATGTGCAAACTTAATTTGGTTTTGTTCTGAGTCTTCATTAATTTTTGGTGATTTTTTTATTTTCCCCATTTAAATCAATTGAATGGACAGTTCAATGCATTTAAATAGGGAAAACAAAAAATCA